CTCACACCTGTAATCCTAGCACTTTGGGAGGCTGAGGCGGGGACATCACCTGAGGTGAGGAGTTCAAGGCCAACCTGGCCAACATGGTGAAACCCTGTCTCTACTAAAAACACAAAAATTAGCCAGGCGTGGTGGCAGTGGTGTCTATAATCTCAGCTACTTGGGAGGCTGAGGCAGAATTGTTTGAACCCAAGAAACAGAGGTTGCAGTGAGCCGAAATTGTGCCACTGCACTCCAGCCTGGGCGACAACAGCAAGACCATCTCAAACAACAACAAAAAAAAGCAAAAGCAAAACTTTGTAACTGGATAGTCAGTGATACATAATATATATTCTGTCACTTCTAATAAGGTGCTTTCCCCTTTAGGTCAGGGTGGTTCTAAATGGAAAGAAAACACAATAATAGGGTAAGAAGTGCTTGTCTAAGCCAGTTACAACACTGGCTTAAGTACTGATCTTAAGGGGATCAAGCCCTTCATTTTTCTAACAACAACAAAAAATCACCTACAGAATATCTAATTTGTGATCTTTTACTAGATCTGATTTTTTAAAATAATGTAATTTCCGGCCAGGCATGGTGGCACACGCCTATAATCCCAGCACTTTGGGAGGCCAAGGCGGCTGGATCACCTGAGGTCAGGAGTTCGAGACCAGCCTGGCCAACATGGCAAAACCCCATCTCTACTAAACATACAAAAGTCAGCCGGGCATGATGGCGGGCACCTGTAATCCCAGCTACTCGGGAGGCTGAGGCAGGAAAAACGCTTGAACCTGGGAGGCAGAGGTTGCGGTGAGCCAAGATTGCGCCATTGCACTCCAGCCTGGGGGACAGAGCGAGACTCTGTCTCTCAAAATAAAAAATAATAATAAAAAAAAGTAATTTCCAAAACCTCATCTCATGGAAAGATCACAGGATGAAGGAAAGCTAGATTCAACTCTGTTAATAGAAGTTGCTATACTCTTAAGTAAAGCAACAATTCAGAATGCTGATGGTCTGAATGAGTTTAAATTGTTTTATATAGCACTTTTTTGGGCTAGGGTTATTTACGAGATCTGACTTGGATAATCTGACATTTTGGGAAATGAACTCTGTCCTTGAGCCTTGTTCAGTTTATTTTAAACATTCGAGGAAGAAAACCTACATTTAACACCCATTGCACACAGTAACTTGTGTTTGTCTGCTCACTCCAGCAATTTAGACCTTAACAGTCGCAGGAAATGTTCTTCTGTTATAAAGCCTTAGTAAATTAAGGTAGGTTTGATTATATTCTAGGTCCACTTATGTCTGAAGTTAAATTCAGTTCCCAACTGAAATTCTAATTGCTAATGAACAAGTTTCCAAAATACTGTAAAAAGAAAATACAATTAGTGAATTCGAGTAAATGCAAACATGATGGGAAATCAATTTGCTATTTGGCCTGGCAAAAGACACAGTAAAATTGTTTTACTCTCCTCTAGTCTCCTTGCCCCAGCTGCACCCACTACCCCAAACTTGGCAGTTTTGAGGTTATGACTTTCAAGGAATTTTTTAGTATTAATATTTCCATCTGAGAACTATGTCCCTAAGGTTATGCATACAACTAGTCAACTGTTTTTATTACTCTATGTATAAACAGGAAGTCATTTAAAATAATCACTTGGCTGGGTTTTTTCCCCGTTGTGCCACATGGATTCACCCTGACCCAAGAACTCCAGGGAAAATTCTTTAGTGTCAACTGAGCAACTCATGAACCTCTCTCAAGACCTCTTCAAGGCCTTGAAAAAAAATGGTTGGCCACAGGAATAAAAAAAACCTGGAATTTATTTTTCAGGTTTTGCTTTCTCGTCTCTTTCTCACTGGCCTTTGTTTAAAGTATCTCGTACTCACAGTTCATGTATCTATTAACCTTCACTATGTCTTTTTCACATTAAGAGCTTATGCTTCAAGCATGTCCCCCTTTTCTAACTTGCTGGTTTACCAAACTCCCCTAAAAAATAAAATTCCTAACCCAGTACTGACAGTCCTCTGCCACTTGGGGATTTTACTTTTTAAGCCATCATCGCACAAGAATCCAAAAACCCTTACATTTTTTAAACAATGGCAAATATGTACAGCAAATTATGTTAAGCATTTAATCTGGCTCATGCCCTTATCATACTATTCAGGTTTATCATAAACTCACTAAAAACCATCAAAGGTCAACCAGAAACTGATAGCTCTTGAAAGGAGCAAACAGGTAAGATCTTTCAAGTTTAAGCTTTTCTGAGATGTATTGTGAAAAATTTAACTTGTGTTTATTGTATATTCAATATAACAACCTGGAAACATCACAACTATGGTATTTACAGAGCCTCTGGAAAATGAGGCCAGTACATTGTGACATGTTTAATTTTCAATGTATTTATTCCAAATAAACTGGTTCATGCTGACTACTTGAATTCAACTAACAACCTGGTCAATTTTAAGAACTGCTGAATGTGAATGGGTTTGGCATTGTAAATGGGCTCTGCCCAAGACTGCCTCCCCTGAACCCTTCTGCCTAGTTTGTGTGCCAACTTAGTATGTTACTTCTGGGTATATTTTCTCAAAAAATGTGGCCGGTGTGTGCTGGCTCACACCTGTAACCCCATGACTGGGAGGCTGAGGCGGGCAGACTGCTTGACTCCAGGAGTTTGAGACCAGCTTGGGCAACATGGCAAAACTCTCTCTACAAAAAATTAGCTAGATATGGTGGCACGTATTTGTGGTCCCAGCTACACAGAAGGCTGAGGTGGATGGCTTGAGCCTGGGAGGCAGAGGTTGCAATGAGCCAAGATTGCACCACTGCACTCCAACCTGGGTGAGAGACCCCATCTCAAAAGTATGTGGACACCTACATCTAAAAACTGCAAAAACAGTGCACAAGTGCTTATCCATAGACACAGAAGACAAGAAGAAACGTTTTCCCTGGGGAACAACGGCTCATTATACCCAAATTTAAAAAAAAAAAAAAACAGTTGAGCTACAACCAGCCTGTAAGTTATCCTATCAAGGTCAGACCCAGCATGCCAGTCCATTTCATGCTCAAAGAAATCCCATTTACTCCCACAGCAGCTACTACCCACAAGCTGATCCTCTTATGAACATCTCCACCCAACTGTAATATTGCCACTTGGAAATTTCTCCCACAAGCCTCGTACTGTTTTGAAATCCTGTCAATACCTTCCAAAACATCTTCCAGTCCCACTGCCATTACTGAGTTCCCTGGCAATCCAGGAACCACTGACTCAGTAAACAGCTACATGCCATCGTTCTAGGTAGTTGGAATACACCAGAGTACAAAATTACACCCTTGTTAAAGTTACATGCCAGCAGAAAAAAAGCATGTAACGAATACACACATTGTAAATATCAGAACTACAAATGCTATGGACAAAAACAAGTGGAGAAGGGTAAAGAGACAGTAGGACAAGTTTAAGGAGCAGGTCCCCTATTTTTAATAAGAGTGGTCAAGGCAGGATTCACTGAATAGACCTGAAGGTGAGTTAGACACACAGCTCAGCTGAGAGCATTCCAAAAGGAAAAGACAACTTAAATGCTTAATGACAGAGGACTTGGTATCGAGGAATAGCCAGGTCAGTTCAGCTATAGTGCAGAAGTCAGAAAAACTGAGTTAAAAACAGCTGCAGGTAGAATGGGGAAACCATTTTAAAACGAAAAAATTGAAAAGAACCTGTTGCAGGATTTGGAGTAGTGCTATAATCCATTTCAAAGTCAGTACCCTGGCTGATGCTGAAATACAGGGAAGATGACCAGTTGAGACTGTCACAGTAACCCAGGTGAAATACGCAGGTTTTTCATTTTCTGCATTGTAAGAAATTTGTATCTAATGGACCCGTATTTCCCAACCTTTTGGGGATGTGATCTTATTTCATGTTGATCCCATTCATTGCCTACAACCCCATCCCGGAAGCTTCTGAGCAAATCCTAGATTCATCATTACCTCCAAATTTCTTAAAAACCTAACCACATGGTCAGCAAGATTCCTTAATGTATGTTCAACTGGTGCACTTGAATCAAGATCTAAAATATATAGGGCATGGTGACCCATGCCTGTAGTTCCAGCTCTTTGGGAGGTAAAAGAGAAACACTTAAGACCAGGAGTTCAAGACCAGCCTGGGCAACATGAGACCCCATACATACTTTAAAAAAATAAAAAAAGTCAGACGTGACGGTGCCTGCCTATAGTCCTAGCTACTAAGGAGGCTGAGGCAGCTAGGAGCATCGCTTGAGTCCAGAAGTTTGAAGTTACAGAGCTATGACCATGGCACTGTATTCCAGCCTGGGCAACTGAGCAAGACATTGTAAGATAAAAGATAACATATATGCCAACTGGTTGCTACTTCTGTCATTTAATCTTTCTGATAGAAGTATCTGACCATACCTTACAATGAAGGTACTCAGCATGTTTTCCTGATGCATTTGATCAAGAATGAACGCTACATCTTGCCTTAGAAATTGCAGTTTCCATCAAATGAGATGTAGAATTCAGGAAGGTTTGGGGGTCACCATGTTGACCTAGGTCTAGTTATGGTGGCCTCGTACCATATTTAAAAGTATGACACGTGGAATTAAAAGATTATGGAAGGGTTATCAATTTTCAAAAACAAGTTCTAGGATATGGAAGTAAATGGCTGAGGGAGGGTAAAGGACAAGATTATTGAGACCATGAACCAAACCAAATGCACCTTCTAACTGATGCTGTATCACTTTGTTCTACTCCTCAGCTGTTTTTCCAAAGATGACTAAGACAACATCTGCCTTACCAAATATTCAAATTCATGCCTCAGCAAATTTAGACACCTTCAGGGTATTCCTAAAGTTCTATATGCAATGATGAACGGCCTCATGTTTGCCTGTCACTGGTACAATATTCCTCTTGCCTAAAATATATCCTTGCTATTCCTTCAAGAACCAGATTAAAGCTCTTTGTTCCACAAGGGAGAAAAACTAGCTAACAAGGATAACAGGTTTAAGCAGCTCCAAATCAACAGGTCTTTTATTGCATCATTTAAATATCACAAGTAGGTCTTAGGAGTCATCTGGCATCTTCTTTCTGTAGCTGGATAACTGGGCAGAAAAAAAAAAAAAAATCGGTCATTCCCATCAATACACTTGCCTAGAAAAGTACTAGTACTAATCTTTTGTTTTGTACTATATTCTAAATGATCTAAAACATACCTCAGGACTATGACTTATTGATTCATGGTAAACTATACATAGTAAAATGCATGCCAATTCCATCTTTTATTCTGTCAAATTTACTGTGTTCCAGAATGCTTAACTCTCCATTTTCTATGACTACAACTCCAGTTTAAGTCTTTTAGTAAATTTAGAGCTTCATTCAACTAAAGCAGTAATAAAACTTAAGACACTACAAGAACTTACCTCTTAGATCTTATTCATCAGCCTGCTGAACAGTTCCTTTTTCAGAGACATAGATACCATCCAAAAATTTCCTGATATCCTTGTTTTTAACTGTTGTGGCTTGCTGAATCAAAGCCGCTACAGGAGAGAAGATACAGCAATTAATACATCAGCCTAACCCATCTTAAAAAGAATATATTTCATTATATGCGCTACTTAAAATTTCAGAATGTTACCTTTTTAACTTCACAATTTAAAAAGCTAACCAAATAAAAATTAGCAAAATACTGTATTTTAAACAACAAGATTTAGATAAAATCTTGTAGGCATAATTAGAAATAGTAAACATACAAACCTGAATTTGAAACAAGTTCAATGTCATTTCCTTCAAGGATTAATTCATCTTTCTGGGCTTGAGATACTGAACAAGCAACACCTAAAAAGAGAGAGGGCATGTGCATAGCATCGACACCAAACTAGATCTGTGTAAAAAATATTTAAACTGCAGAGGCACCAATTTATTCCATGTAAAACTCCATGCACCAAAAGAACCTTGTCTTAAGATTTTGGGGCCAGGCACAGTGGCTCACGCCTGTAATCCCAGCACTTTGGGAGGCTGAGGAGGGCAGATCATGAGGTCAGGAGATCAAGACCATCCTGGCTAACACAGTGAAACCTCATCTCTACTAAAAATACAAAAAAGTAGCCGGGAGTGGTGGCACGTGCCTATAATCCTAGTTACTTAGGAGGCTGAGGCAAGAGAACCACTTGAAGCTAGGAGGCAGAGGTTGCATCGAGCCGAAATCGTGCCACTACACGCCAGCCTGGGTGGCAGAGCGAGACTCTGTCTCAAAAAACAAACAAAAAAACCATTTTGGTTTTACAGCACCTGCCTTACCTGTGCCAAAATCTTATTTGTGTTCCTACTTGAATGAATCACAGTCCTACAGTGGTTACTCCTTTGGTGATTTAATTAAGGTATTCAATTTGCCAGAATTTAGTTGTACAAAGCCTTGTGCCAAGTCTTACTTTAGACCAGCCTGGACAACATAACAAGACCCTCCCTCTACAAAAAATTTTAAAAATTGGCTGGGGTCAGGCACAATAGCATTCCTTGAAATCATGAAATCAGCCTGGGCAATGTGGCAAAACAGTCTCTACAAAAAATAAAAAATTAGCTGGGTGTGGTGGCAGACACCTGTAGTGCCAGTTAGTGGGGTGGCTGAGGTGGGAGAAACACCTGAGCACGAAAGTGGAGGCTGCAATGAGCTGAGATCACACCACTGTACTCCAGCCTGGGCAACAGAACAAGACGCTGCCTCAGATAAAAAGCACCAATCTTTAAAATTTTTTTTAAACCTACAGTATTTACTATGTATTACGCATGCACTGTTATTTTTCAACTTTAAGTCATTTAATCAAAGATGTTTGCAATTTTAAGCTACGGAGAGATGATACGCCCAAGGTGGACAGTGAGAGCTGAAATTTAAGCTAGGCTATTAACCACTACTCATGTAGTTTTCTCTTTAGATTTTAAAGGTTCTTACCACAAAGAAAAATGGAGTGATGGATGTGTTAATTAGCTTGATTTTGTCATCCCACAGAATATACATGTATTGAAACATCACATTGTGCTCCATAAATACACACCTTTTGTAAATTACAAGTCTTTAAAATATTTCATTTGCCAAGTTAAATACAACCACCACTACAAACTACTCCAATGTATCAACTTTCTGAAATTGTAATCAATATGATATAAACCCTCAAGTAGCACCAACAGTTACAAGTGTAATCAAGAGAATTCTAAAACAAATCTGGTTTTATTCAGCACAAACACAAAACACCAGCCAACTAAAGTATGAAAGAGGTTGGGAGTGGAAAAGGAGAAAAAAAAAATATGAAGGAAAAATTTCTTAATTCTATCTGAGGGTATGCACATACCTGGTCTCATCCGAACCCTGCGGATGTATTTTTCACCCAAGAAATTTCGGATTTCAACAAGAGACCCATTCTCCTGGATAACAACGTTGATGGGGAAGTGAGCATACACAGACCTCATCTTGTAACGGAAGCCCTATATTAAATAAGCAAGCTATTACCAATGCTGAAGAATATTTTTAATAGCACCTGAACCAAACTTTATAAACATTGTTCTCTCTATTCAGTGGACTGTAAAGCTCCTTACAGAGGCATTTATTTCACTAACTCTCATGCCCTCAATGAACAATGCTGCCCTCTTTTAATGAGAACCCCAAAGCCCTCATGTCTGACATTAGACTAACATTTACTGAGTAGTACTAAGGTACAGCACATGGCCAAGAATTGAAAACCATTTCAGCATGAACTTTTTATCCTGAGGGGAGAGAAGGTGGGTTGGAAAGAATAGGGACCAACAGACAGAAAACTCAGAAACTACATCATTTTCTATCCCAACGAGGGGTCCTGATGGTGAGATGTGATTGCCACTTAGTACTGCAACTGTAGATTTCCTATTTTAAAAAAAGAAAATTCGGAAGATGTGAAAATTCACCATTAGCCTACTTTTTAAAAACTGCACCCATCTAGCCATGCATGGTGGCTCATGCGGCAATCCCAGTACTATGGTAGGCCAATGTGGGAGGATCCCTTAAGCTCAGCCTGGACAAAACAGGGAGACCCCTCTTGATTCAAAAAAAAAACAACCCCCCCCCCCACCCCCAAACAGAAAAAACAAACATGTTGTACCCATCTGGTCTTTGCTCTCAGCTCTATCGCTTGAAGACCCAGAGATGCCTATTTTTGCCAAGTTCGTATTACGCCAAATAAAATGAGTAACCCATTCTCTGAAAGAGACATTTATGCTGTATAAAGCAAAGGTTTGAGAAACCTCCCTTTCCAAAACAAAGAAGTCTGATTCATCTGCTTACCAGTGTAACACCCTTGATCATGTTCTGTACATGACTACAAATAGTCCGAACGGTAGCCAGCTCCTTTCTGTTACCCCACCATTTGTCAACCCGAAGCCTCTTTTTTTTCTTTCCAAGAAGACTGAGTTCTACATTGATGTGATTGAAGTCCCTCCGCAGGGTTCCTCTGGGGCCCTTCACGATAACTGTGCGTCCCTTCAGGGTAATGTCGACTAGAAGAGAGAACACACTCGTCAGGCCACACAACGCTTGGAACGTGTAGTAAAGATGTATGAAAAAGATATCAAGTCTCATACCATTTTCTGGAATGTCGACAGTCTGATTGCTGAGAATGGTCTTCATTCTGAAACACAAACACTGGGGGTGAGGCCGACCCAAGGCCCGTTTTTCCACCAAACTACGCGGCACAGAGCTCCACTCCTACCGGAGACTGCCAGGCGGAAGTTCCGGAGACGATATTGGAGGACGGGACACCGACAGCGGGCCCCAGTGCGTCCCAGCCCGGAAGGAGCAGCCCCAAAGCAAGAGTTACGAGGCCCAGCAGGCGAACTCCCGCTCAGCCCAACCCTGGAAGTTCTATCCGGGCGGCGCCATCCTGGCAAGGCTGAGGGGCGGGAATAGGCCAAAAAGCCCAAAACAGGATTCGCATCCGGCGCCGCCAGGCTCATATGGCGCTTGCCGAGCTGGGGGACAAACAGGACAAGGTTCCGAGAGCGGGAGCCGCGCCACAGCCTTTCCCAGAACAGATGGCTTCAGATTCCTAATGCCCCGCGAGCACAGAAACATCCTCACCTTGCAGCAGACGCAGCAAAGAAAGAACGTCTTTCGTCATTACGTACTTGTATCCCGTAAGGGGGGGGGGCCTGCGTATTGCGTCATAAGTGCGCGACGTCACGTAAGGCTAAAGCAGCCAATCATGGAGCGGCTCGGCTGTTTGTCGTAAACGGAGCGGCGTGTTACCGACCTGTCCTTTCCCGGGAGTTAGCGATCTCTCAATCCCTGCACTGCGCTAGTTCTAAAGAGGAAATGTCTCTACGCTGCGGGGATGCAGCGCGCACCCTGGGGCCCCGGGTGAGCGGCGGGGCGAGCGGGTTTGGGCGTGGGGTGGGGGGATCCTATCCCTTCAGAGCGCCCACGCCCAATAATAAAGGTCAGTGCATTTACTTCTAGCCAACGGCAGTTTTAAACATTTTTCGTGTAATCTCATGTAATTCTTCTACCAACCGCAAGATATTGATATAGAGTCTCTGGCATCAGTTTGTTTGAAAGTGTCTCTGGGCCGGCACTAAGGACTTATTTTCTGTTTAGAGTGGTTTGTACCCTGTATTTATGGAGCACTGCAGTGAGCACCCTACATAGCTATTCTGTATTGGACTCTTACTGTGTGTAAGACACCACTCTAGCCGCAGAGAACACAAACCTGTCCTCTAGGCTTTAGCTGCAGACATTGAGAAGTGCAGTAGCAATCGTGCAACACCCTAACAGGCACTCTTTTTGAGTTGTCGAAGGTTCTTTTGCGTTACATGTGCAGACTCGCGGATTTTGTAGTGTTCTGGCTGTCTCGTGCATGTTTGTGTTCAGATGTAAAAGCCGAATACCATGATTTCTTATGTTCTTGACTGCCATGTTCAAACACAGAAAAAATGTAACCTAGAAAGTAAAATCGTTCATCCTGGCCAATGTGGTGAAACCCCGTCTCTACTGAAAATACAAAAATTAGCTGAGCGTGGTGGCGCGCGCCTGTAATCCCAGCTACTCGGGAGGCTGAGGCAGGAGAATCGCTTGAACCCGGGAGGCGGAGGTTGCAGTGAGCCGAGATCGCGCCACTGCACTCCAGCCTGGGCGACAGAGCGAGACTCCGTCTCAAAAAAAAAAAAGGTAAAAAACGTTAGGCTTGGTTTTCCCCCTTCCAGTTATCTGAAACCAACTGGGCATTATTAACCTACTTTTAAACAATTATGCTTATTCAAAACTCGAGAGATTTATTGCACACTTCACTTTAAACGCCCCTGATTCAAGTCAGGACCAGAACAATTTTAAACTGTGGCACCTTCTTCAGTTATTGCAGTTCAATCTTGTTGAAAGACAAACATGTAGTTCCTGGTAGGTGGAGTACATGAAAGTGTGATGTATATTAGATAGTTCCAGAGATTTCCAAATCAATTCTAAACTCAGTTGTAAACAGTCAACTCTTATTCTCTTTTAGGTTTGGTTCCTTCAGTCATCTTTTATATTACATTCTAATGCCCTAGAATACTAGAGCTCCTAGTTTGACATAATTTCTGAAACACTTTTTTAGGTTTACCAAAAGGCTTACTTTTAGGTGTTATGATGGGTTAAAACTAAATTATTCTGGACTCCACTAAATAAATGTCATAATGAACTCTTTCATTAGGTATTTGGGAGATACTTATGCAGCCCAGTCAGACCATTAAGTTCCTTGCCAGATGAAAAAAAGGAACTCTTACAGAATGGACCAGACCTTCAAGATTTTGTATCTGGTGATCTTGCAGACAGGAGCACCTGGGATGAATATAAAGGAAACCTAAAACGCCAGAAAGGAGAAAGGTAATTGAAAATTTGAGATAATTTTAACGTCCCATTCCTTTGTTGTGCATTATTTTCAGATATAACCAAGCCCTAGAATCTGTTTTTTATATCAGACTTGTTAAATTTAGCTAAAAATCATTAGAAAGATGTGATAACACAACTAGATAGAACAGGTAAGCAGATGAAATTGTTGGAATCTTTCTCTTTTCTCTGTGCCCTTACTATGTTACACTGCCATCTCCCCATTTTCTACCCAGCATCCAACTTCTTCAGAGTAGAGATTATTGCCTTACTACTAGTCTGTTAGATCTGGGTTACTAGGTGTTGATGATCTAACGTGTGCTTCTCCTAGTCAATTTACATATGACCTATGGATACCTTACCTTAATTTAAGAGAGTTATGGAATTTTATGTAGAAGGTAGATTGTGTTGAGAGAGAACTTAATCCAGCTCCTTCTATATCACAAGTGGATGGAAGTCATGGAGAACCAAGGATTCACAATCTCCACTCCAAATTTTAGATCTTTTTTACGTTGAGTAACCACTATAAAATCTAGAATATAGAGCAGACAGTGCACTGTTGTGATCTTACCTCACTCTAAACAAATAGAGTACTTTTTGGCAGTATCATTCATGGAGGATGAGATATTCAAAAACTCATTCTCTTATTAGAATAGTGTAACTCTGGCTTTGCAAAAAAGGTAGACATGAGCATAGTGCCCTGTTACACTCCATTATTGGTGTTTTCTTTTTTTTTTTTAATTTTTTTTGAGATGGAGCTCGCTCTTGTTGCCCAGGCTGGAGTGCAAATGGCACGATCTTGGCTCACAGCAACCTCCGCATCCAGGGTTCAAGCCATTCTCCTGCCTCAGCCTCCAGAGTAGCTGGGATTACAGGCATGCGCCAGCACGCCCAGCTAATTTTGTATTTTTAGTAGCGATGGAGTTTCTCCATATTGTTCAGGCTGGTCTCGAACTCTGGACCTCAGGTGATCCACCTGCCTCGGCCTCCTAAAGTGCTGGGATTACAGGCGTGAGCCACGGTGCCTGGCCCCATTATTGGTGTTTCTTTTTTTTTTTTTTTTTTTTTTTTTTGAGACGGAGTCTCGCTGTGTCTCCCAAGCTGGAGTGCAGTGGCATGATCTCGGCTCACTGCAAGCTCCGCCTCCCGGGTTCACGCCATTCTCCCGCCTCAGCCTCCCAAGTAGCTGGAACTACAGGCGCCCGCCACCACGCCCAGCTAGTTTTTTGTATTTTTAGTAGAGACAGGGTTTCACCGTGTTAGCCAGGATGGTCTCGATCTCCTGACCTCGTGATCCACCCGCCTCAGCCTCCCAAAGTGCTGGGATTACAGGCTTGAGCCACCACGCCTGGCCTATTGGTGTTTTCTAAAGTGGTTTGAGCAAGGCTGAATTTGATTCGGTGTTCTTACTCTTATGACAGAAATTATAAGAGTTATTCTAAGATTATAGAAACAGTATTAACTAGGAATTGTAATAGAAGAAATTAACTTCAAAGCTGTGTAATTATTTGGCAGCATATTTGTTAATCGTTATGTTTGACTTTCCTTAGGTTAAGACTACCTCCATGGCTAAAGACAGAGATTCCCATGGGGAAAAATTACAATAAACTGAAAAACACTTTGCGGAATTTAAACCTCCATACAGTAAGTTGTCAAAGTGTAAACTATCCCTCTTAACCAAAAGCCATATTTCTACATTTATATAGCTTAAAAATTATTAACAAATATATAAATAATAGCAAAGAAAGTAAATATGTTAAGTGATACATTACTACCAGGAATGGAAATATATTTAGAATCATTTTTCCTGCAAACAAAAAGATTTTTTGCCCTACAAGTTTGGAAACAAAGCTTTGTTTTTTTTATATTGCAAATTAGATATTTGTTTCATTGGAAAGAATATAAAATTAAATGTGAAGCTATGTCACATACACAATGCCATATATAAAGCACGCTCTTTTACCTATAACTGTTCAGTATATATTCTTTCAGACTTTTTTATTTGCACATATGAAGTATATACATTCATAAAGTTTTTAATTTAAAAATGAGAGTTTGGCTGGGTGTGGTGGCTCACACCAATAATTCCAGCACTCAGAAGGCCGAGGCGGGAGGATCACCTGAGGTCAGGAGTTCAAGACCAGCCTGGCCAACATGGCGAAACCCCGTCTCTACTAAAAATACAAAAACAAAAAATTTGCTGGACTTGGTGGCATGAGCCTGTAGTCCCAGCTACTCGGAAGGCTGAGGCAGGAGAATCACTTGAGCCCGGGAGGTGGAGATTGCAGTGAGCCAAAATGGCACCACTGCACTACAGCCTGGACGACAGAGTGAGACTCCATCTTTAAAAAAATAAAAATTCAAGTCTGTCCATTCTTATATAATTGTGTAAGAGAGTACACCTCTATAGGACATGCTCACCACACTCTAATTTTAATATAGAGTTTGGCAGTTTAACAGCCTTTTTTTTTTTTTTTTTTTTTTTTTTTTAAGACAGGGCATTGCTCTGTTGTCCAGGCTAGAACGCTGTGGCACAATTGCCTCGACCTCCCAGGCTCAAGTGATCCTCCCTCCTTGGCCTTCTGAGTAGCTGGGAGTATAGATGCACATTACCATTCCTAGCTAACTTTTCGATTTTTTGTAGAGGTGGGGTTTCACTATGTTGCCCGGACTGGTATCAGATTCCTGGGCTCAAGCAATCCTCCCTCCTCAGCCTCCCAAAGTGCTAGAATTACAGGCATGAGCCAGCACACTTGGTCTTAACAGCATTTTTGAATAGTGGATGTCTTCAAAAATATGTTGTAAACAATGAGCAGTTTAAAATGTCTAATCACAGTCACCAATTGTTTAGTTGGTGGATATTGTCAACCTAATGGTGTTCCATTTCCTTTTGTACACAGGTATGTGAGGAAGCTCGATGTCCCAATATTGGAGAGTGTTGGGGAGGTGGAGAATATGCCACCGCTACGGCCACGATTATGGTAGGGCCAGCCTCAGCCTCTACAGCTTTAGTCTAGAAACTGAAAGGGAGTATGTTCTGTCTTCTTCCTAAAAATGTGCGTTATGAATCTCTGGTCAGATTTTTCATTACATTTGCATTTATGAAAAATATTAAGAAAAAACCTGATGGAATAATCCAACCTGTTTTAATCTCACTCTTCTCTGCATAAATCTGTTATTGGTTCTTTCATTTATGTGATAGTTAATCACACACTGCCTTGAGATACCTCTCCTCTCAATTTTTGGAAACATTATTCATGATTGCTTAACTTTTTGTGTGTTTTCTGTTTAATATATTCTACAAGAAGGAGCTGTGCTTTCTGTTTTCACATTCATGGAGACCTGCACATTGATCTGTTACATATTTTATGTCTTTTCAAATCATCTTTTTTGATTATTGAGTAGATAAAATGTATCTTCATAGGCCAGGTGCAGTGGCTGATGCCTGTAATCCCAGCATTTTGGGATGCTGAGTCAGGCAGATCATTTGAACCCAGGAGTTCGAGACCAGCTGGGCAACATAGTAAAACCCTGTCCATACAAAAAAAAGTTTTAAAAAATTAGCTGGGCATGGTGGCACTTGCCTGTATACCCAACTACTGGGGAGGCTGAGGTGGGAGGATCACTTGAGTCCAAGAAGTCGAGGCTGCAGTAAGACGTGATCATGCCACTGCATCCCAGCCTAGACTACAGAGCAAGACCCTGTTTCAAAAAAAAAGTATTTTATAAACTGTGTAAGTTATAAAGAATAACAGAACAGACACCTTCATACCTCCAGTTTGAGATTAAAACATTAGCATTTTCTTTGAATCCCCCTCTGTAGCCCCTAAACTATATTTTAGAATCCCATTTTTCAGTTGTGTTTCTATTTTGTTTTAAGAAATGGGGGTCTCACTCTGTCACCTAGGCTGGAGTGCAGTGGCATAGTCATAGCTCACTGCAGCCTGGAACTCTAGGCTCAGGTGATCCTCCCATCTCAGCCTCCCTGAATACCTGAGGCTACAGGTACATGCCACTACACCCAGCTAATTTTTAGAGACAGGGTCTCGCTGTGTTGCCCATGCTGGTCTCAAACTCTCAACAATCCTCCCACCTCAGCCTCCAGAGTAGCTGGGATTATAGGAGCAAGCCACTGCACCCTGCTTTGTTTTTTAAATTTAAATTTTGTGTCCTTTCCTGATCCCATCCCCTTTTCTCTTCCCTGAACACTATTCTTATTGCTGAGTTTATTTCCCTTTCTTTTTAGTTGTATCACATATATTTGTGTTCCTTGACTATCATTTAGTTTTGAATGATATTTTTGAATATGTTTGAAACAATATTTCAAACATATGTTTGAACAGAACAAAACTGTATGCATTCTTTGCAACTTGCTTTATTCTCTCAACATTATGTCCTTAAGGGTCATCTGTCTATTTGATTTAAATTGTAACATTTCTATTTTAGTTGATGGGTGATACATGTACAAGAGGTTGCAGATTTTGTTCTGTTAAGACTGCAAGAAATCCTCCTCCACTGGATGCCAGTGAGCCCTACAATACTGCAAAGGCAATTGCAGAATGGGGTCTGGATTATGTTGTCCTGACATCTGTAGATCGAGACGGTTAGTGTGTCATGGTGGCCTCTACCAGAAATTGGCTCTAAATGGTGACATCATCTTGAGCAGTGGATTCTTTTATTTCTAGATATGCCTGATGGGGGAGCTGAACACATTGCAAAGACTGTATCATATTTAAAGGAAAGGTACTTATTTTTGCATTTGTTTGTGTAATTTAAGGACCGTTTTGGACCCACATGAGTTTAGTTTAAGTTCTTTACCTTGAAGCAGGGATTATTCACTTTTTGGGGAGTTTCATAGTTTTCTGATAATTCACTGGAAATTATGTACACATTTCTTTGGAAAAAGCATATTTGTATGTACAGATACATATTTGCAGAGAATTTTAGGGGGTCAGTAATGAACTTATCTATAGACCTTTAGCCCATAGAATCCCTCCCTCATATTAGAGCATTAGTCTAAACTTTGAATAATTTTCTTTAAAAAGTATAAACCTGGTCTTCTTAGTAATGATTTTTGTTTTGTTTTGTTTTGAGACGGAGTCTCACTCTTTTGCCCAGGCTGGAGTGCAGTGGCGCCATCTCACTGCAACCTCCACCTCCTAGTTCAAGCATTTCTCCTGCCTCGGCCTCCCGAGTAGCTGGGATTACAGGCCCATGCCACCACGCTCAGCTAATTTTTGTACTTTTAGTAAGAGACAGGATTTCACCATGTTGGCCAGAATGGTCTCGATCTCCTGACCTCAATTGATCCACCCACCTGAGCCTACCAAAGTGCAGGATTACAGGCCTGGGCCACCGCACCCAGCCTGGTTTTTTTTGTTTTGTTTTGTTTAAGAGACAGTCTTGCTTTGTCATCTAGGCTGGAGTGCAATGGCCTGGTCATAGCTCACTGCAGCCTCAAACTTCTGGGCTCAAGCAGTCCTTCTGCCTCAGCCTCCCAAGTAGCTGGGACTGCAGGTACACACTACCACACTCGGCTAATTTTTTTTTCATTTTTTTTTTAGAGACAGAATCTTGCTGCATTCCCCAGGCTCATCTCAAACTCCTGGCCTCAAGCAATACTCCTGCCTCGCCCTCCCAAAGTGCTCGGATGATTCTAATTTTCTACAACTCAGTACTAGTTTGGCACCTAAGCACACTTAGTAAATTTTTTAAATGATTCCCTAGTATTTTCTGTTTTCTATTTACTATAATTCATTTTTGAAAAATCTGTTTGCAGCCCACTGTTTATTTTACAAGCTTCAATGGGTCTTAGCTTGCAGTTTAAAAAAGCAGTAGAACCAAGCACAGTGGTTCACGCCTATAGTTCTAGCACTTTGGGAGGCCAAAGCAGGAAGATTGCTTGAAGCCAGATGTTCAAGACCAGCCTGGGCAACATAGGGAAATGCTGTCTCTACAAAAAATAAATTAAAAAAAAAAAGTAGCTGGATGTGGTAGCATGCGCCTGTAGTCCTACCTGCTTGGGAGGCTGAGGCAGAAGGATTGCGTGAGCCCAGGAGTTCAAAGTTACAGTGAGCTATGATGCACTGGGCAACAGAGCAAGACCCTGTTTTAATTTTAAAAAAAAAAAAAAAAAACCAGAATTATAGGACATGTTCTTTGAACATCTCATATGTTCATGATAAGGGTGTACATGTAGTCTTTTCTACATCTGTTCTTCCAGGGAACAACTCCAGACACTTTGCCAGTGGGTTTATGAAAAAATTTGTCAGCTGTTTCAGTCATTTTTGCTGGTGTCAAAGGGAACAGCTCTGTGACCCATTTCACATTATAATGCTTGGATGAATAGATATAGTCACAACATAAATAGGAAGATTAATGTTTAGCTCGTACTTTGTTTAACAAAGCTCATGACTCAGCAACCCAGAAAATAGTTTTTAAAACCCATAGTACTTGTGAAATATTTGCCTAGAGGAAAGGAGGAGAACATGATTTGATAACTTTTTAAAGAAATAAAAATTAAAGCAATCAAATAATATTCACATTTATATAAGAAATATCTCAATTTACTTTCCAAAGAGTTAAGTTTTATATTTGATGTTTTAATATTTCATATTTTAGTTTCTTACAATTATTTACTTTTTCTAAAACCTACTCAAATTAGGTTTAAAAGTCTACTATATATAATTTGAAATTTTATTCAGTTTGCCTACAGGTGTGTTTTAACCACTGCATACATAGTATTTAATGTTCCGCTTTTTTTTTCTTTTTTTATAATGGTTCATGTATGAACATCTGTATGTTCATACTTTGCTTGGCAAAGTTCTAAAGGTTACTGTGTTGAAACATACTGAATGAATACCGATAATTTCTGTTTTGAGCAACAGGTGTGTCAGTTCTTTCTCTCTGTTTGATAATTCTCTTTTTTCCCCCTAGGAATCCAAAAATCCTTGTGGAATGTCTTACTCCTGATTTTCGAGGTGATCTCAAAGCAATAGAAAAAGTTGCTCTGTCAGGATTAGACGTGTATGCACATAATGTAGAAACAGTCCCGGAATTACAGAGGTGAATATGTGTACAAAGTAATGTTGGAAAGTTAGGTGGGTCAAAATAGGCCATATATACTTACCTTTTCCAGGGGTGAACTTTGCCATCGACTTTTACAAAGGAAACTCTATTCTTTTTTGTTTTTTAGGAAAACTCAGTCTATGTCTGTTACATAAAAATCAGAAAATATCACCAACAAAAACAGCATAAATATCATCCATAATAGTATTTCCACCCAGCAATATCAGTTACTTAGTGTTTATATTATAAACACTATATTTATACTGCATAATTGTATTTTTATATTTATAATATACTTAATTTTTATATTATAAACATTAAGGTGTTAATTCATATTACTAACAGTTACTGTGTGTGTTTTAATACACACAAATAATGAACATCTTTTTTTTCTTTTTTTTTTAAATAATATCAGACTGCAAATTTCAATGAGTTGTTTGTTTCCCCCTCCCCACAAAAAAGTTTTCGAAGGAGGGAAAAATTACACTAGAGCAATTGCTTTGGTTGTAATTCTAAAGAAAAGGCTTCAAAAATATATTCGGCTGGGCGCAGTGGCTCATGCCTGTAATCCCAGCACTTTGGGAGGCTAAGGCAGGCAGATCACCTGAGGTTGGGAGTTCGAGACCAGCCTGACCAACATGGAGAAACCCCATCTCTACTAAAAATACAAAATTAGCCAGGCGTGGTGGCACATGCCTGTAATCCCAGCTATTCGGGAGGCTGAGGCAGGAGAAGAATCGCTTGAACTCGGGAGGCGGAGGTTGCAGTGAGCCAAGATCGCGCCATTGCACTCCAGCCTGGGCAACAGGAGCAAAACTCCATCTAGAAAGAGAAAGAAAGGAAAAAAAAAAAATATATATATATATATATATATTTTTATACACATACACAGCACTAATATGTGTAATGAATGATGCAGAAGAAAAACTCATGGCTCACGCCTGTAATCCTAGCACTTTGGGAGGCCGAGGCGGGCGAATTACCTGAGGTTGGGAGTTCAAGACTAGCCTGGCCAACATGATGAAACCCCGTCTCTACTAATATACAAAAAATTAGCCAGGTGCAGTGAAGCGCATCTGTAATTCCAGCTACTCTGGAGGCTGAGGCAGGAGAATTGCTTGAACTCGGGAGGTGCAGGTTGCGGTAAACCAAGATAGTGATAGTGCCACTGCACTCCAGCCTGGGCAACAGAGCGAGACTTCAAAAAAAAAAAAAGAAAAACTCATATCATTCAGATGTACTTTTTTAAAAAGGTAGACACTATGCTTTCTTACTCCTAATAATTTCAGTAATTAAGAGTAATTATTGGCAAGTAACACTCATGTAAAAAGTAAGGATTATTATCCACATCCATTCAAATTTTAGAAAAATGAACATTTTAAGCTTCAGGCAAGATTAATATCATTTTTTCTTTAATTTAGCATTTAGCAGTGATTTGATTAGCTTCTACATATGATCTGTGTCATAGAACCTGAAATAAGTTAAAGTAAACAATAACCATCATTTTCACTAAATCATAAACAGTAGAGACCATAACTTAATTTCAGTGGAGAAATTCTGTTAAAAAGTAATTTCTATATTGTCAGTTTCAGTTATTTTTAAATTCATAAATTTGTTTCTTTCCTGTTAACTAGTGTCTGATGAAAAACAATTACAGAAAATAAAGCTGCTTTAGAATTGAAATGAAATCCGGTTTAACATCAGAAGCTTTCTGGCCTTTTGGCTTAAATGATAAGTCATTTAAGCCACGGTACACAGCCTGTTGCAACCTTGTCGTGATACCACCACCAGTGGGTGCCAGTTTCCCTGGTTTCACTTAAGAAACATGATCCTTTCCAGTGAAAATTCCAGAATCATGCATTTCTTTACCTAAGAGGTGGCAGTGTTGTGTACTCACCAGCAGAGGGCAGCTTAGTCTTCAGAAAAGAAATGAACATGAAAGTTTCAACCCTCTGACGTGGGTTCAGCTTATTTTTTTCTTTGTTCAGTATGGAGACTCTCTTACTTCTGCTTTTTTTTCCTTTCTCTCCTAATTTTTCGCTTCAGAATTCTGGTTTCTCAATGCATAAACTGAAGTAATTCCTTCCATTGTACTTTTCTCTGCCCCAGGCTTGAGGCAGAGCTAGGGAGCCCAGTGAGGCCTTTTCTTTCCTAAATTAACAGTTAGGCATTTGTGCATAAATGCTACCTTTCAACTATGTGGTTTAAGATAATGTGCAGAATGTACTTCTCTGGTCTTTCAGGTTGCTTGCGTAACTATGTACTTGGTTGAACTTGTTGTAATTCTTGCTGACAACAGTCCTGCTGTTTTCCAGTAAGGTTCGTGATCCTCGGGCCAATTTTGATCAGTCCCTACGTGTACTGAAACATGCCAAGAAGGTTCAGCCTGATGTTATTTCTAAAACATCTATAATGTTGGGTTTAGGCGAGAATGATGAGCAAGTATATGCAACAATGAAAGGTAAAGAAATTGAAAAATGAAAAAATCTTTCCCATCTAATTTGAGTAATAGCAGGAACCCACTCACTTTGAAGGCCCTTCTAAGAACAAAGTATATGGTTATAAATGGCAGCATAAAAAGAAAACCAACTTGCACATGCACCCCCAAATCTAAAATACAAGTTAAAAAAGAAAATAAAGCAAAGGAAATAAATTTTCTTGGGATTTCACGGAGTGACATGCATGAAGCTCAGGATACGAAATTTATATCCCATTTTATTCCCCATCCTTGCATCCACTGATAGCATGATTTCATTCACTTTTCTCATTCTATCATTGGACACTTTTGGAGAGCCAGCCAGGTACCAGGCACTGACAGTTCATAGATCAATGAGACTAATCCAAGCCTCTGAGAAAGAGCTTACTTGTAGCATTGTCACATAACATGGTGTGCTTTGGACTTTGCTGAACCTTAGTCCCATAATTCCATGTACTTGGTGATTCTTGGACTTTTTAAACTTTGGGAATAAAAGTTTTAATTTTAGCAGAGGATCCTTAGATTGCTTGTAGTTATTTAGCGGTTCAAAGAGTAGTAAGTTCATATAGTAATTAAGAGCTGCTGTTTACCAAATTGAACGCAGTTTATTAGAAAGGTTCTGATACGTCACAGTTTAAATCACAGCCCCCATAGCATATCTTGTGCACCTAATGCAACACATTTGCTCTATGATATAGGTGCATTCAGGTTTTTGCATATACCATTTCCCATACCTTTTCTGCCAGACTCCTACTCTAAAACACCCTCCACGACTATTTTAACATTTACTCTGTACTATTAGAAGTATTTATCCTTGTATCTATAAGCCCTACATGACTGTCTTAATCATTACTGTTTTCAGTCCTTACTACAGTCCCTGGCACATAATACTTTTGAATGAATAGGTGTTATCTTATTCCCCAACATGAGGATTATGGACTGTCACAAAGTTCACACCATTTTTAAATATTCCTCAGGAAAATTATGGTTAGGTCTACAATTAAAGTATTTGCTAATGTAATTTGTGCTTTTCTTCCTACAGCACTTCGTGAGGCAGATGTAGACTGCTTGACTTTAGGACAATATATGCAGCCAACAAGGCGTCATCTTAAGGTACACGTATCTTGATTTGCTTTTTTTTTTAAGACAGAGTTTTGCTCTTGTCGCCCAAGCTGGAGTGTAGTGGCACGATCTCGGCTCACTGTAATCTCTGCCTCCTGGGTTCAGGTGATTCTCCTGCCTCACCCTCCTGAGTAGCTGGGACTACAGACGGGTGCCACTACATCTGGCTAAATTATATCTATATATATAGATATAGATATAGATATTTTTGTTGTTGTTGTTTGACACAGAGTCTCGCTCTGTCACCCAGACTAGAGTGCAGTGGTACAATCTCAGCTCACTGCAACCTCCACCTCCCAGGTTCAAATGATTTTCATGACTCAGCCTCCTGAGTAGCTGGGATTACAGGCACAAACTACCACACCCGACTAATTTTTTTATATTTTTAGAGACAGAATTTTGGCATGTTGCCCAGGCTGGTCTTGAACTCCTGAGCTCAGGCAATCCATCCACCTTGGCCTCCCAAAGCACTAGGATTACAGGTGTGAGCCACCACACCCGGTCAATTTTTTAATATTTTTAATGGAGACGGGGTTTCACCATTTTGGCCACGCTAGTCTTGAACTCCTGACCTTAGGTAATCCGCCCGCCTCAGCCTTCCAAAGTGCTGGGATTACAGGTGTGAGCCACTGCGCCCAGCCCATGTATAGCTTTTGACTCCCAAAAAATCATAACTACTAATAGCCTTCTGTTGACCGGAAGCCTTACCAATAACAACAGTCAGTTAACACACATTTTGTATGTTACGTAAGTGGGCCTGTGCAGTTACCATGTTGTTCGAGGGTCAGCTGTATACTGATAAGTCCCAGTTTTATTATCTACATAAATCAGCTACATTGGTACATATTTGCTGCCTCCCCCATTTTCTCTACAAATTTCACAACTCAAGTGAACCTAGAGAAAAAGAATTTAAAAGTTGGGAAATGGCACTCATTTACACTTGGTTATTGTGTAATTTGTTTTTTGTTATGTTAGAGCCAGAGGCGAAGTAAGAATGGGAAACCATTGTTTCTATTTCTATCATGGACGTTTATCCATTCATTCAAGAAGCTTGTGTTGAGCAGTGACCATGTGCCAGTCACAGTGCTAAGCAGAAGATACAAATTGAGTAAGACAGTCTTGTCCTCAAGAATCAGATAGGCATGAGTAATTCTTGAATTTACCTGTTAATGAAGGAAAAATACAGATAAATAATCTCTATAGATAATCTCTTCTTTCTCTGTCCTTTGGAATAGCCAATGTAGCACAAAATTGATATGCTTCCCTGCCTCTATAATTCCCTGTATTTACATCCCAGTAGAGTGGCCAAACAAGTAACCAGCAAACAGGGAGGAGGGAGAGGACAAAAGCCTGGGGGTGGAGGCAAGATAAATTATGCAGTGAAGAGTGTTCTGCGTAAATGGGTATAGACTTTCTGCAGAATCAAAAGAGGAATTCTAAAATCTGATCAGAAGTAATTATTTAAATCTAGGTTGAAGAATATATTACTCCTGAAAAATTCAAATACTGGGAGAAAGTAGGAAATGAACTTGGATTTCATTATACTGCAAGTGGCCCTTTGGTGCGTTCTTCATATAAAGCAGGTAAGGTAGATTGCGAGGCATGGTTTTCTTTAGGCCATTAACTTTCCACATTAAGTTCTACCACCAATCACTAAAACTCTTGACAAATTGTAATACCTTTGGTGGTCTTGGTAGAGGGCGTAGTTTTTTTTCCTGGAACATGCTTAGGAGCTTTGCTCCATGGGGATCATGTTAAGGAAAAGTTTCTCTTAATCCTTTGTTTCTTAAACAAATTCAGCCCCTTGCTTTGTAACTCAGCTACTATATAGTAAAAGCAGAAACAATTGGTTTATTGATTTATTCTATGTGTAGATTTCAGTAGTAGATTATTCAGAAATGACAGAGCATGTCAAGCATCTAATAGGGTTTTCTGAGAAATACATATTTATTTGGAAATGTTGCCAGCTGCATCTCCAGACTACCAATTTCAATCAATTTAAGCACTGAAAAGTATCTGTTTGATAGCATTGCTTGCGTCATTACATTTCTTTGTATTTTTCCCCCAGAGGCAACAGAAAAATATCCATAAGATTATTTTTCTCCGTAGAAACGTTTAGTGGTTTTACTAACTACAATGCAGTTTTTTTTTTTACCTTTGGAATTTCAGCTCTTATTTTAATCAATAGCTTGAATTGATTTATGAAAATAAAATCAGTTTCCAAGGGATAAAAAGTCACGTGATAATGATTGTCAGAGGATCCATAGAACATATCTGAAGACTGAATTTAATCTAGAAAGTGTTTATGATGTCCCTGTCAGTTGAACTTAACAATTACAATTATTAAGAATAAATAGGCTGGCCGGGTGCGGTGGCTCACGCCTGTAATCCCAGCACTTTGGGAGGCTGAGGCGGGGGGATCACGAGGTCAGGAGATCGAGACCATCCTGGCTAACACAGTGAAAACCCTGTCTCCACTAAAAATACAAAAAATTAGCCGGGCATGGTGGTGGACGCCTGTAGTCCCAGCTACTCAGGAGGCTGAGGCAGGAGAATGGTGTGAACCCAGAAGGCAGAGCTTGCAGTGAGCCGAGATTGTGCCACTGCACTCCAGCCTGGGTGACAGAGCAAGATTCCATCTCAAAAAAAAAAGAATAAAGAGGCCAGGCAAGGTGGCTCATGCCTCTAATCCCAGCACTTTGGAAGGCAGGAGGATTACTTGAGCCCAGGAGTTCAAGGATCCAGTGAGCTATGATCATGTCACTACAACTCCAGCCTGGGCGACACAGCAAGATACTGTGTCTCAAAATAAAAATAGGCCGGGCGCGGTGGCTCAAGCCTGTAATCCCAGCACTTTGGGAGGCCAAGACGGGCGGATCACGAGGTCAGGAGATCGAGACCATCCTGGCTAACACGGTGAAACCCCGTCTCTACTAAAAAATACAAAAAACTAGCCGGGCGAGGTGGCGGGCACCTGTAGTCCCAGGTACTCGGGAGGCTGAGGCAGGAGAATGGCGTAAACCCGGGAAGCGGAGCTTGCAGTGAGCTGAGATCCGGCCACTGCACTGCAGCCTGGGCGACAGAGCGAGACTCCGCCTCAAAAAAATAAATAAATAAATAAATAAAAATAAAAATAAAATAAAAAAAAGAAACAGCTAGGCCAGGTGAGGTGGTATGTGCCTATAGTCCCACCTTCTTGGGAGACTGAGGCAGGAGGATCGCATGGGCCCAGGAGTTCAAATAGAACTTGAGCAACATTGTGAGACCCCATCTCTTTATTTTTTATTTTTTTATTATTTTTGTTTTGAGGTGGAGTCTCTCTCTGTTGCCCGGGCTGGAGTGCAGTGGTGCAATCTTGGCTCACTACAACCTCTGCCTCTCGGGTTCATGCCATTCTCCTGCCTCAGCCTCCCGAGTAGCTGGGACTACAGGCACATGCCACCACGCCCGGCTAATTTTTTGTATTTTTAGTAGAGACGGGGTTTCACTGTGTTAGCCAGGATGGCCTCGATCTCCTGACCTTGTGATCCGCCCGCCTCGGCCTCCAAAAGTGCTGGGATTACAGGCGTAAGCCACCACACCTGTCCGACCTTGTCTCTTTAAAAATGAACTAGGTATTGGCCGGATGTGGTGGCTCATGCCTGAAATCCCAGCACTTTGGGAGGCCGCGGCGGGCAGATCACAAGGTCAGGAGTTCAAGACCATCCTGGCCAAAATAGTGAAACCCCGTCTCTCCTAAAAATACAAAAATTTAGGCCGGGTGCGGTGGCTTATGTCTGTAATCCCAACACTTTGGGAGGTGGGTGGATCATGAGGTCAAGAGATCGAGATCATCCTGGCCAGCATAGTGAAACCCCATCTCTACTAAAAATACAAAAATTAGCTGGGCATGGTGGTGCACACCTGTAGTCCAGCTACTTGGGAGGCTGAGGCAAGAGAATAGCTTGAACCCGGGAGGCGGAGGTTGCAGTGAGCCAAGATCCTGCCACTCCACTCCAGCCTAGCAACACAGCAAGACTCCGTCTCCAAAAGAAAAAAAAATTACAAAAATTAGCTGGGCGTGGTGGCGTGTGCCTGTAGTCCCAGCTACTTGGGAGGCTGAGGCAGGAAAATTGCTTGAACCTGGGAGGCAGAGGTTGTGGTGAGCCAAGATCACGCCACTGCACTCCAGCCTGGGCAACAGAGCAAGACTCTGTCTCAAAAATAAATAAATAAATAAGCTAGGTTTGGTTTGTTTTTTTTTTTGGATCTAAAGTGATGTTTTAAATGATTGCTTTATATATTGGAGTCTAAATCTTAAATATGTTTAAATTAAACAAATTCTATTTGAAAAAATTAATGCTCCAGTATTAGTAATATTCAGTATGTTCCTATAAAGACATTTAAGGCCGGGTGCAGTGGCTCACACCTGTAATCCTAGCACTTTGGGAGGCCGACGTGGGTGGATCACTGGAGCCCAGGAGTTCAAGACCAGCCTGGGCAACATGGCAAAACCCCATCTTTACAAAAATACAGAAATTAGCTAGGTGGCTGATTTGCTGGATGGTGGTGGGCACCTTTAGTTCTAGCTACCCAGGAGGCTGAGGTGGGAGAATCACCTGAGCCCAGGAGGTTGAGGCTGCAGTGAGCTGTGATCGTGCCACTGCACTCCAGCCTGGGTGACAGAGTGAGATCCTGTCTCAAAAATAAATAAATAAATAAAAATAGTAATTTAAAACATTTTAATGAACTAATAGCTCATCATAGTTTGGAAACCCAAGAATTTGATTCAGCGCTGACTGACAGGATGTGGGGATTTTGAAAACCAGTAATCGCAAGTGATTTAATCTTCAAGCAGCACTACTGGCAAGCTAAAAATACATATGAAGGATAGAACCACTATCAGCTTCTAGAATGGTTACAGTAATATCCTTTGAAAGGAGTTTTTCTTTTGTTAAAGAAAAATTTCTAACATATAAAAGGAAGTAAATTATGAACTTTTTGATGCTTTCTAAATTACCAGGAAAAGATCAAATTCTGGTATGTGATGAGCATTAGACTAAAATGATGGATTAGGGTCTGGTAAAGTCGGTGCTACTCCCACGACATTTGGAGGAGGTATGGAGCAGCATGGATTACTTGGCTGGGTTATGAGCCTTGGGATTTGCAGAGATTATATGTAGATACACTCATCACAGTTCTACTCATATGTAAGATGACAAAGAGAAGTTAATCAGACTCCTCGTAAAATCAGGCCTCCAGTGCTGCGCTCTACCAGTAAGCATTGAGTCATGCTGTAAGAGCAATAGACTAAATGGAATGCTAATGGCCTAAAGAGAATGTGCCCTCTGAGCTGCTAACTTACTGCGTAGGCACAACTCAGGCGGTGGGGAGAAAGCCCATTACAGATGAAGAGCTCTTGCTTCCCTAGAGAGGAATAAGCTAAAGAGATTCCATCAGATGCGTCTGCTCAACTGCAAGGAGGTCTGTTTTATAAACATCAGATCCAGCCTAATAATGTAGCAAAATTGCTCTTGGAAGTGAATTTTGCCAAGAGCAATACTTTGACAGTGATGAGGGAAAGATAGTGCACATAAAGTAGAATAAATGTGCAGACCCATGTATACAGTAGGATCACCCTTCGTAATATTGAGTTACTAGAAAGAATAGTAGTAGGAGACTCTAGTCATTATTACCGGGGAGAAAGGCCAAAGATATAGGGGATATTTAGGTTAGAAAAATATTGCCAGTGAGGTTTGAGAAGAGGGAAGTGCCAATAAATAAAAACGTCATCTTTAAAGGGGAAACACCAAAAATATAATTCTGAAATAGTTGTCTCACTATTATTTACTTTAAATTGATATTAATGTGTTTTCCTTTTTCCTAAATAGGTGAATTTTTCCTGAAAAATCTAGTGGCTAAAAGAAAAACAAAAGCCTTCTAAAACTTCAAGACCTTCAAGATCACAAAAATTTTTTAAATTTGATTCCAGTTAATAACAGAGGTGGTGCCAGAATGCCTGGACTACAGTGGATGTACCCCACTCTTTGCTTAAAACAAAAAAATGTCAATAGCCAGGCATAGTGGCTCACGCCTGTAATCCCAGCACTTTAGGAGGCCGAGGCGGGTGGATCACCTGAGGTCAGGAGTTCGAGACCAGCCTGGCCTGCATGGTGAAACCCTATCTCTACTAAAAAAACAAAAATTAGCCAGGCGTGGTGGCGGGCGCCTGTAATCCCAGCTACTCGGGAGACTGAGGCAGAAGAATCACTTGAACCTGGGAGGGGGAGGTTGCAGTGAGCCGAGATCGCACCATTGCCTTCCAGCCTGGGTGACGAGCAGAACTCCATCTCAAATAAATAAATAAAAAGGAAAAAAGTCAATAAACTACAGATTTAATTACAGTAATTCATTTGGCTTTTTGTTTATCTTCTTTGTCCCAATAAACAGTTGCTTGCTGTGATGTAATCTTAAAATATCTTTGTAAGAATTTTCTGTTAAATAATTTTAAAATGCATTAAAAACTTCTAGAGATGAGGCATGGTGACTCACACCTATAATCCCAACATTTTGGGAGGCCAAGGCAGGCAGATCACTTGAGCCCAGGAGTTCGAGACCAGCCTGAGCAACATGGTGAGACCCTATCTCTACAGAAAAATTTAAAAATTAACCAGATGTGGTGGCATGCATCCGTAGTCCCAGCTACTCAGGCTGAGGTGAGAGGATCACATGAACCTGGGAAGCAGAGGTTGCAATGAGCTGAGATGGTGCCACTGTTCTCCAGCCTGGACACTGTAACTGCTCTCCAGACTCTGTCTCAAAAAAAAACAAAAACTTCCAGATTTTCTAGTCCACTGTTAACATCACCATTACATTTCATTTATGAAAAATAAAAACTTCATTTGTTACTGTGATGGAACAGTCATGATTAACAGTTATGATTAACATTTGTCCTTATAATATTGGAATAATTTAGAAAGGCTTAAGAGTGAATGCTGGCCAGACATGGTGGCTCATGCCTGTAATTCCAGCACTCCGAGAGGCCGAGGTGGGCGGATCACCTGAGGTCGGGAGTTTGAGACCAGCCTGGCCAACCTGGTGAAACTCCATTGCTACTAAAAATAAAAAAATTAGCTAGGCGGGTTGGCAGGTGGCTGTAATCCCAGCCACTCGGGAGGCTGAGGCACGAGATTTACTTGAGCCTGTGAAGTGGAGATTGCAGTGAGGTGAGATCGTGCTACTGCACTCCAGCCTGGGCGACAGAGTGAGATTGTCTCAAAAAAAAAAAAAGTGTAAATGTTAATTTTTTACATTGGTGTGACTACTTCAGAACCTGCAAAATCGTTTTATGCTGATCACATTTAGTCCCTCTGAAAAAACCAAGGCCATAATGCTGCCTAAGGCAAGGAAATAGAACCTGGAAATATTAACCCTTATTTGTATAGTAGCTTTTTAATCCACATGCACTATTCCTTTCATTTCTCACATTGGTTGTGTTATATGATGATAAAGACCTGAGAAAGGAATTTCCTTCCAAAATACTAGTAACTCAGAGATTCATCTTTTGACTGAATCCTGCCTTTCTACTTTTTCTGCATATCAAAAAGGACACTTTTAGGTGGCCATGTTGTAAAATACGTAAAGTGGATAGCCAATTCTGTTTCGAATTCTTACAACGAGCCAGGATTACAAAAGTAATGCACATCCTCGCCAGGTGTGGTGGCTCATGCCTGTAATCCCAGCACTTGGGAGGCTGAGGCAGGCGAATCAGTTGAGCTCAGGAGTTTGAGACTAGCCTGGGCAACACAGTGAGAACCCCATCTCTACCAAAAATACAAAAAATTAGCTGAGTGTGGTGCATGCCTGTAATCCCAGCTACTTGGGAGGCTGAGGCAGGAGAAACACTTGAACCTGACAGGGAGGGGTTGCAGTGAGCCGAGATCACATCACTGCACTCCAGCCTGGGTGACAGAGACTGTGTCTCAAAAAAAATTTGTTTAAGTAATGCAGGGGCCAGGCACGGTGGCTTACGCCTGTAATCCCAACATTTTGGGAGGCCGAGGCAGGTGGATCACCTGAGGTCAGGAGTTCGAGACCAACATGGTGCAACCCTGTCTACTAAAAATAAAAAATTAGCCGGGTGTGGTGGCGCATGCCTGTAATCCCAGCTACTCAGGAGGCTGAGACAGGAGATTCCTTGAACCTGGAAGGTGGAGGTTGCAGTGAGCTGAGATCACACCATTGCACTCCAGCCTGGGCGAGTGAAACTCCTTCTCAAAAATAATAATAATAATAATAATAATAATAATAATGCATGTCTTTATAGATCCGAGTACATTTTGGGATGTAAATTTAACCCTATTTCTTTTGTTTTCAGACAGTCTCGCTCTGTCAGGCTAGAGTGCAGTGGCGTGATCTCAGCTCACTGCAACCTCTGCCTCCTGGGTTCAAGTGATCCTCCATCAGCTTCCCAAGTAGCTGGGATTACAGGCACCTACCATCACGCCCGGCTAATTTTTGTATTTTTAGTAGAGATGGGGTTTCACCGTGTTGGCCAGGGTGGTCTCGAAGTCCAGGCCTCAAACAATCTGCCCGCCTTGGCCTCCCAAAGTGTTGGGATTACAGGCATGAGCCACCACCAGGCCTAACCTTACCAACTTAAAATAGAAATAGCTCAAGCTGCCTTAACTTATTTTACAGGAAAAAAATGGATTACTTTTCAGGCTAATTTTTTTGACATTTCTAGATATTATCTAATAGGCCTTTTGCACAGTGTAGGCCAATGGCAGTTAAACATTTGTTAGCTAGAGAATCATTTGGTGAAATAAAATTCTCAGCCGGGCACGGTGGCTCACACCTGTAAACTCAACACTTTGGGAGGCCGTTGCGGGCGGATCACCTGATGTCAGGAATTCGAGACCAGCCTGGCCAATATGGCAAAACCCGGTCTCTACTAAAAATATAAAAAATTAGCCGGGCCGGGGGCGGTGGCTCAAGCCTGTAATCCCAGCACTTTGGGAGGCCGAGACGGGCGGATCACGAGGTCAGGAGATCGAGACCATCCTGGCTAACACGGTGAAACCCCGTCTCTACTAAAAAAAAAAAAAAAAAATACAAAAAACTAGCCGGGCGAGATAGCGGGCGCCTGTAGTCTCAGCTACTCGGGAGGCTGAGGCAGGAGAATGGCGTGAACCCGGGAGGCGGAGCTTGCAGTGAGCCGGAATCGCGCCGCTGCACTCCAGCCTGGGCGACAGAGCGAGACTCCATGTCAAAAAAAAAAAAAATTAGCCTGGGGTGATGGCACGCGCCTGTAGTCCCAGCTACTCAGGAGGCTGAGGCACAAGAATCGCTTGAACCGGGGAGGCAGAGGTTGCGGTGAGCCGAAAATGCACCACTACACTCCAGCCTGGGCCACACAGTGAGACTGTCTCAAAAAAATATAAATGAATAGTCCTCGCTGGTGTCCAGGCGAGGTCCGCCGACGCCCTGAGCACCCGGCCTGCCACGGCGGCCCGGCAGATTGCCTCTGTCACCAGGACCCTCTGTCCACGTCCTCTGTGCGGCCAGCGTCAGAGCCATGGCGACCGAGAAGAGGCCACCAGAGCACAGCCGACCCCTTCGTCATCCGCCACTCAGAGCAAGCCTACACCCATGAAGCCAAACTATGCTCTAAAGCTCACCCTTGCTGGCCACACCAACGCAGTGTCCTTCCTGAAATTCAGCCCGAATAGAGAGTGGCTGGCAAGTTCATCTGCTGATAAACTCATTAAAATTTGGGGTGCATGTGACCGGAAATTTGAGAAAACCGTCTGGTCACAAGCTGGGAATATCCAATGTAGCCTGGTCCTCAGATTCTAACCTTTTTGTTTCAGCCTTAGATGACGAAACCTTGAAGATACAAAATACAGGAGGTGAGCTCGGGAGAGTATCTGAAAACCCTGAAGGGACACAGTAATTATGTCTTTTGCTGTAACTTCAATCCCCAGTCCAACCTTACTGTCTCAGGATCCTTTGATGAAAGTGTGAGAATATGGAATGTGAAAACAGGGAAGTGCCTCAAGATTTCACCAGCTCACTCAGATCCAGTCTTGGCCATTCATTTTAACTGTGATGGATTCTTGATAGTTTCAAGTAGCTATGATGGTCTCTGTCTATCTGGGACACTGCCCCGGGCCAGTGCCTGAGACGCTCACTGATGATGACAACCCCCGGTGTCTTTTGTGACGTTCTCCCAGAACAGCAGATACATCCTGGCTGCCACGCTGGACAACACTCTGAAGCTCTGGGACTACAGCAACGGGAATTGCCTGAAGATGTACACTGGCCACAAGAACGAGAAATACTGCATATTTGCCAATTTCTCTGTTACTGGCAGGAAGCAGATTGTGTCTGACTCGGAGGATAACCTTCTTTACATTTGGAACCTTCAGACGAAAGAGATTGTACAGAAATTACAAGGCCACACAGGTGGTGTGATCTCAACAGCTTGTCACCCAACAGAAAACATCACCTCTGCCGCGCTAGAAAATGACAAAACAATTAAACTGTGGAAGAGTGACTGTTAAATCCCTTTGCTCCCTTACGTGATAGACTGTTAGGAAGTTGACCCGGATTGGCAAGAAACGTGGTGTCTCAGAGGTGGTCTCCCGGGGGTCTGTGCCTGGGGGTCAGGACGGGGCCTGATTTGAGCCTCCTTTTTGAAGACTATTTGGCTGAGTGTGGACCACTGGAAAGTGCTAAAAGTTGCTGGTGACATTTCTCGCCAATTCTTCTAACACTGGTGGCACATGCCTGTAACACTGTCTAGGGAAGTGCCTTCTAATACCGTCTAGGGAAGAGTTCCTAGTCTATTGTGTTCAAACAGAGTGAACAAAAATTTTTAATTTTTTGTTTCAAAAGGGTCAAGTTCAATTTTAAAAAATAATAAATATAATAAATAAAAATCTCATGGAACATCAATGTAAAATAATTAAAATGGCATTTTATTAGCACAGTGTATGTTACAGTTTCAGGTTTGTAACATTTACTCTGTAAATAAAAATAGTGAATAAGAAAAATGAAGCTATTTTGATACACATGCAAAATTGGGATTTATGGATAACAGTTGTTGTCTTCAGCCTCAAGAGTCTACTTACTTGTTTTGGTTGCACAGTATTGAGAACAGTTCCAATGTAGCTAAATAATAGTAAATTTCAGTTAGTAGCATAGCTTAAAAAGAAAAAAAAAATAGTAAATAATTTTTAAAAATTGTAAAACACCTCATCTTGGACTCTCTGGATGCTTTCCAGTTACATTTAATACAGAAACCTGAAAGAGGAGTAGCAGGAGATGTTTTTGTTTTGTTTTGTTTTTGAAACAGTCTCACTCTGTCTCCCGCGCTGGAGTACAGTCACGCGATGTGGGCTCACTGCAACCTCCACCTCAAGTGGTTCTCGTGCCTCAGCCTCCTGAATAGCTGGGATTATAGGCACACACC